TATTAAATATTAACATATTTACAAAGTTCCTCAAGCCTTACCAGTGTCTGACCAGGAGGCAATTAAGAATCAGTCTGGTACATTTTACTACTTTAAAAGCTAATAACTTTTTATATAACATTTGAAAATAATGTATTGCAGCAGATAGATTGATATTATTTATATTAAATCTCATTCTGCTTGAAAGTTCCCTTAATATGTCTGCCATCTTAAGTGGGAGAAGTAATTGAGAAGGATTTTATGTGTCTCCAATAGAGAAGAGTGCTATACTAGACAGCTGCTGTGTTGTAGTGGTTAAGGCATGGGATTGTCAGTAGGGAGACCCTGGTTCTAATCTAAATCTGACCCATGAAAGCTGTACTGCATGTTTTTAGATTAGTCACTCTCAACATACTCTATCTCAGAGGTTGGTTATTGCAGGAAAAATTGGGAAGAAGAGTTATATATACTATCTTGAATTCCTGAAGGCAAGTGGGTTAGAATGCAGTATTGCAGGCTAACTCTGCCCTCAGCCTGAAATTCGATCCTGACTGGCTTTAGGTTGACTCAGCCTTCCATCCTTCCAAGATCGGTAAAATGAGGACCCAAATTGTTGGGGATAATACGCTCACATTTCTAAACTGCTCATAGGGTACTGTAAAGAACTGTGGAGCGGTACATAAGTGTTAGGTGCTATTGCTATTACTAATTATAAAGATAAATCTTCATAGGAAAAAGAAAATGTAGAATCCTTTCTGTGTTCTGCTTGGAACTCTGCCATTTCTAGTGTTACTAAGTTTTGGGATCAATTAGATTGTTGAATTTCCAGTAGTGATATTTTGAAAAAATAATTTAGTTTCACTCATGTTTAATATAATTTTGCAGTTGTTTCGTATCTTACATGAAATGCCTTTAACAAAACTTTAGAAACTGGAACAACTCAATCAGTATCCAGACTTCAACAACTACCTGATATTTGTTCTTACAAAGCTAAAAACTGAAGGTGAGTTTTATGTTAATTGTATCCAGTAATTACATAGCTAGATAAATTGGGTCAGAATTTCAAAGGTTTCTGGATATTTTATTCATCAAGACTTCATTGGTTGTTTAGTTCACCAGACTAGATTCCACTAGAATATTTTTTCTTTATTCTGTGAACTAGAACAATTGCTCAGAAATAAATGAAATTTCTTTTCAAATAAATCTGTTTTGAATAATATCATAAATGTATTGAACAGTACCAGCATAAATTCTAATAGTTGTTAAAATTGAGCTAAAATATACTTTAACATGACCACAATATCTTTAAAATGGTATGCCAAACATTTTATGTTCTGAAATTGGTTTATACATAAATTATCATTGTCAATTGACTATTTCATGCCTATTTTGGGTTGTCTATTCCACTGTAATTTAATACCGAATAGGGTGAATTATGCTCTACTTTCTTCAAAAATTAATCTTTCGCTTATGTATCTCCTTATTCAACATATAATATATACTCAAGTATTCTAAAACCTTGGATGTATTCCAAAACCATATTGTTTCTGTTATACAAGAAAATAAATTCTAATGGATGTGGTTTTAGATGATGATGATGAAGATGGAGGAGGAGGAGGAGGGATTATTTAACTATTGTAGCCTGAGTCTGTCCAAATCTTGAACATTTTCCAAATTAAGTCTATTTTGCTCAGGCTGTCTAAAATTACAGTTTAATTAATTTATTAGATATATAATAATTTTCATATACATTAAATTGGATTATGTACATTAAATGATATTGAACCTGCATGCTACAATTCATATAACCTGATAATGCCATTATAAAAATGTCATTTGTGTCATTTTATATAATTTGTGTAATGTATGTATGAAATAATTTACACAATGATAACAGTAATAAAAATAAAAATGAATCAAATCAGTGAAAAAATAGTTCATTCCATTTGAAGATAGTGGTAAATTGAAACAATTGCATTTTTTTTTGTATATGACTGAAGATTGAATTTTAATTGTATTTTTTAAAAAATCAGTATAGCATTATGCATAACAACTTGATTTTGAATTGGAGCTTAAAATGGCTCTTTTGACTTTACTGGAAGTCTTGATTCTGTTACAACCATTCTGGAAACTTTTGGAGCTTCAACTTTAGGTTGGAATATAATTTGGAAGAATCCTGACAAGAGTGGAACGACTCCATTTCAACCTTGAAATGCTATCTGCACCTCAAATTCTAAATAGTGCATTATTTTTCAGGTGATACTGTAGTAAAAGTACATCTATTCTTTAGTGAAAACTGCCACAGAAAAACTGGATGTACTGTATGTGCTTGGTAGTATGAATGCTGTCAGAATACCTTGATAAAGCAGAAAGTACATTGCAAGACGAAAATGTTCTATTTTTTAAAAATAAATTTTCTAACTTGCTTTGTTTGATATAATAATCTTAGAGGTTATACGTTTTCCTGTCAGGTTCCTCTATTAACATAATTTTGGAGATATTGGCAAGCAGTATTTATGGAGTCATACAATTTGATATTATATTGCAATATGAAATAATGCAAGTATATATCTACATCTATATACATGTACACTATTTATATATATGCAATTTATACATATATGTAATATATATATATTACATATATATAAATAAATAGTGCATATATATAAATAAATTTGTGTGTGTGTGTGTGTGCGTATGTGTATATATATGCGTATGTGGGACCTCGTCGAAACGTCGCCAAGATACTCCCAATCTTACACGGGAAAAGACCCAAATACGCCAAGACCTGCATATATATATATGCAGGTCTTGGCGTATTTGAGTCTTTTCCCGTGTAAGATTGGGAGTATCTTGGCGACGTTTCGACGAGGTCCCACTCGTCATCTTCAGGCTGGGGTCTTCGGCTTCGTGCTTGTGCGAACAAAGTGTGATCGGAGCTGCGTCTCTCTATAAATATTGGTGGGGGTGTGTGGAGTGCTGGTGGAGTGCTGGCTTTGTTGCTGTAGGTGGGTTGGTTGGCTGTGGTGGAGTTATTTTTTGCAGATTGTTCGGCTGTTTCGTAACATCCTGAGTAGCTGAGGTGCTGGCTGTGTGCCCATTAGTCTTTTGTGTTGTAACGACCTGGGTAATGGGCTGTGTGATGACATCCTGAGATCTAGTGTAGTGATATCCTGAGTTCTGTGTTGCAACATCCTGGGTGGTTGGCTGTGTTGTAACATCCTGATGTAACACAGGATGTCATCACACAGCCCATTACCCAGGTCGTTACAACATAAAAGACTAATGGGCACACAGCCAGCACCTCAGCTACTCAGGATGTTACGAAACAGCCGAACAATCCGCAAACAATAACTCCAACACAGCCAACCAACCCACCTACAGCAACAAAGCCAGGACTCCACACCCCCCCACCAATATTTATAGAGAGATGGCAGCTCCGATCACACTTTGTTCGCACAAGCACGAAACCGAAGACCCCAGCCTGAAGATGACGAGTGGGACCTCGTCGAAACGTCGCCAAGATATTCTCAATCTTACACGGGAAAAGACCCAAATACGCCAAGACCTGCATACCTGTACCCGTGAAAATCTACGAATATGAATATATACACACACACACACACACACACACACCATGAAATCAAGCATTTTATGATTTGAGTTGTGCTTGCTCCCAAGTAGGTATATGGAAGATATAGCCTAAATGACTTCTTTAAAACTTATTACAGATGAACCAACTAGATCACTGAGTGGTCTTATTTTGAAGAATAATGTCAAAGCTCACTTTCACAACTTTCCTAATGGAGTAACTGACTTCATTAAAAGTGAGTGCTTAAACAATATTGGTGATTCCTCTCCACTAATCAGAGCCACTGTAGGTGAGTCGTGAATATTTATTTATATTCTGTTTCTTTATGCTAAATAAACAAATGGTAAAATACAATTGGTAACAAACATTTTTAAGTGTAGTGTCCTAAAGGACTCGGTCTTTTTCTTTTCTTCAGAAAAAATTGTGTGGGTAATTGATTGGTTCAGATATAAGTATTTTAGATGTCTGTTATACTATTATATATAATCATGTGTTTATTTAATATTTCTAATAAATGTATTCCAAGTCTTCTGCTTTTAATTTGTTTCATGATGAAAGTGTGGATGATTATTTTAGGTCCTTCGGGTGTAGGATAATATGACAATATGAATTCCTCATGCATATTATCAGAAAGAATATTTTTAATTTTAAAATAGCTTCAGTATAAAAAATTGACATACCTTACCTTTACTTGACACAGGATCACTGTTCTGCTTCAGGGAATATGATTTGAACATAGAAAAGCCTTGAAAAAATATGAAAACATAGGAAAGGACTTGTTACAAACATAGATTCAAAGATTAGTGTTAATGTTCTACTTTGGGATTCATGCTGTGGTTTTCATGCAAAATCCTTATTTTTTTCCTTTATTATATTTCAACTTGGTGTCTTCCAGTCTCATTGATAATAAGGAAGTTTAGTTTGTAATATATGAAAAAAATGTTCTCCACTCTTATCCTAAATGAGAAACAGTATTCCCCCGTATTTGTGTCAGCAGATCCTCCTAAACATTCTACAAATTCCCAAATCTTCGGGGAGAGTGAGAGGTACTTTGGAGCAAATGTGAATATGCATGGGGAAATAACAATAAGGAAAATCCCTGTTGCACGAACAGAAGTTATTTTATATGCTTATTTCATTGTCATAATGGTTTCTACCTCCAGAATATAGAATTAGAGCATCTCTGCTTATCAGTAGATGAGAAAGGCAACTGTTGACTATTCAGATGCTGTTGTATTAAATCAATTCCAATTGATGTGGCCAATTAGCGATAGTAGAACTGGAGACTTGATATATTTGAAGTGTGAAAGTTGATCACCAAAGAACTGCCTTCTTAGCTTCAGCCATTGAGCAGATTTTCCCATTCCCAATAGTGCTTCCTTAAGTGCATATTCTAACCCTATAAGTAGAATTGCATATGTCATCGACTTGTCTACTGTTAAGGTAATGTTTTATGTCTTGAGGAAATCTGAGAAGAGTACAAGGGCATTTCTTTGCAGATTAGCTTTCCTCTCAGCTTGAATATCAGTCCATATTTATGTCTAAAATGTATGTGTGTATATACATCTTTACAAACATAGACATGCTTTATCTAGTTCCTTAAAGAGATGTTTTTAAATTTTTCCTGTTGGCCATCCTTATTTATGTATTAATTTTTTATATTGTTACATTAAAGCAACTTATTATCAATAATGTTTTAAAATTCAAGGTATCTTGATTACAACCATTGCCTCAAAAGGAGAATTGCAGAACTGGCCTGAACTTTTACCAAAGCTTTGTAGCCTGCTTGATTCTGAAGACTACAATACTTGTGAGGTGAGAGTTTGCTTTTTCTAATTAAAAAAGCCTTTTTATTTGGAATAGGTCAACAATGTGGTAATTATTATTTTTACTACTTTTATTTTTTTCTACATGGAACTGTGAGGTGGTTGGGCTGAGAAAGAATGACTGGGTCAAAGTCACACGGCCAGCTTTCATGCCTGAGGCATGAACTCAGTGTCTTCCAGTTTCTAACCTTATCAAGTAAACGAGAGGTCCCCAACCTGGTCCGTGACCCATTACTGGGCCGTGTGCTCTTGGCCCCGTAAGTGGCTGGCCAGTGCACAGACGTGTGCGGGCTCATACCCCTTTGGGCATCTAGCGATGCCGTGACTGTCATGCAGGCGCTAGCATTGCCACGAGCGCACCACCCACTTGTGCTAGCGTTGTGGTATCGTGTCGCCGCTATCGTTGCGAGCGCACACATCCCCACTCGTGTTAGCATCATGGCATTGCGTGGGCCCTAGCATCCCCCAAATGTCACATGGGCGCTCATGGCCAAAGGAGTACTGTTAGTGAAGTTCATGGAGCGTGATTCAACCATCAGTTCAGAAATCTACTGTGAAACGTTACGAAAACTCAGACAAGCCATCCATAACAAGCATTGGGGCATGCTGACTTCCATTGTGGTGTTGGTATCGTGAACTTCACTAGCAGTACTCCTTTGGAATCTTCACATTTGGCGGGATTTTCTATGGCACCACTTGGTTGGTTCACGATAATGCTCGCCTGCACACCGCTAGACTCACCCAAGAACTTTTGAAGCAGTTCCTTTGGGATGTTTTTGATCACCCCCCCCCCCAATAGCCCAGATTTGGTGCCAACCGACTACTACTAAAGAATTCCAAACCTTGTAAGACATTATGACAGGTGTCTCAATTTGAATGGCGATTATGTCGAAAAGTAAAGTAATGTTGTAGTTTTCTAATATGTATAATGAAAGTTCTATATCTGCGAGTGTTTATCATTGATAACCAAACAGAGGTTTATTTCCGAATTGCCCTCGTATGATGGGAATTAAATCATAGGCAGCTTCTCCCCAAATGGTCATAGTTTTCTGTATATTATTAAGCTATTTTTTAATTTTTGCTTAACTTTCTACAATTCTTTTTGAAGGAAATAAGGTGTCTTAGCAAGAAGAGCACAGCTAGATTAGGGCCTAGTGCTGTGTTCCAGTACCAAAGAGGCTTCAAAACAAGAAGAAAAAAAGCTCCCCAAAGTCATAAAAATCTCCACAAAATTATAATACTAAAGGATTTAAAGTTAGGGTTGAAACTTAAAATCTAATATTATAAACTTATAGATAATGACTGGCTTATAAAAATACAATATAATATTATAAGCAGATACAAAATATATAAAGGAAAACTTTTCCTAATAATACCATTACATTATTGTAAAATATCATAAAATCTATGCTAAAGAAAGTATATTGTTTCATCCTTTTATAACTGGAAAATGTTGCCTTTTCCTGGTCATTTTCTGCAATTAGGAGAAATCTTAGCTGATTAACTAAAGCAAGCATATTGTTGTAAAAATAAAGACTCACTCAGCTAGCAACTGGATTAGAAACAAATTCCTACTTCATTCCTTTTTATCTTTTCTTCCTTTACATTGAAAAATGTCATATTTGATCTTTCTGATAGTATTTTATGAAAAGAAAACAGTATTTTTTTTATAAGTTGTTGGGTAAATGCAACATATTTTGAAAGTTACATTGGTTCAGCATATGATGGCATATACACTGTTGGCCACCTCTCAGTTTACCCATATTATGTTAATGTAGCACAAGCTTTACTGGCTCCCAATTTCTTTTCAGGAGCTGCTTATCACTTTAAAGCACTATATCAGAGTTCCCTCAACCTTTCTGGCTTTGCAGACTGGCGCAGGGAGATGGGATTGTTTCTCATGAGTGGTGGGCAAGTTTGTGCATGCCCAGCTCCACCACTTCCGCGGCCTGGTTCCAAAAGGCTCAAGGCCTGGTAGTGGGCTGCGGCCTGAGGATTGGGGACCCCTGCCCTATATGATACGAGGCCAGGTTATTTGTGAGACTGCTCTTCCCTGAGAGTGTCTGTTGGCCTCACCCTGTCTGATAGGGTGGGTGTTCTTCAGCTCCTTCACTTAAATGTTGCCATCTAATGGGACCTAGCATGGCTTTTCTGTCTTTTCCCTGCTCTGTGGATCATCCTTCTGCTGGGGGTCTGGTAGTCCTCACCCTTTTAGTCTTTTGGAAGTCTGAAAAAAGCTTGTTCTTCCCAAGGACTGAGGTCAGGTAGGATGGGAGCCTGTGGATGGTTTTGTTGGAGGCATCCAAGTAAGATGGCTAAGTGCCTTTTCCTTTTGGTTTTATAGGTTTTATAGTTTTTGATTTTATTGTTGTTTTGAGCTGTTCAGAATACTGTTCTAAGAGGGATAGGCGTACAGATCTTTTAAGTAAATAAGATGTCAGCTGTATTTGGAATTCAACCTGCAGTGAGATGAGGTAATTTTTTAAAATAAATGAGTCTGATGTTATTATATAAATATCAAAAAAAGACAAAAAATTATCTCATAGGGTGCATTTGGAGCTCTTCAGAAGATCTGTGAAGATTCAGCTGAAATCTTAGACAGTGATGCTTTAGATCGTCCCCTTAATATCATGATCCCTAAGTTTCTACAATTCTTCAAACATAGCAGTCCAAAAATAAGGTAAGAAATAAAGTTCTCTATCAATTATTTGAAAAGTTTGTTTACAGAATTTTCAGTTTTAAATATAATTAACATGAGTGCACTGTTGAAATTTATTTATTTTAGTTTCTACGGTCATCCATTTATACACAACTCTGGGTAGTTTACAAAGGTTGAAAAAATAATAGGAATCAATTAAAGCACAAGAAGAAATGGCAAGGCCAAGCAAACCAAATAGTGGGCTGAGAGGCCTGTGGTGTGAGCAGGGTCTTCAAGACTCTTTTGAAGGCAAACCGGCAGAAAAAGGGCAGTCTCCACAACAGAAAAAGCATCCTCGTGTGCTCCATTAGATGACATTGTTAATAGATGGGATTTGAAGGCCTACCCAATTGGATCTTACCAAATGGGCAGAGACAATTGGTGATCTTTGAAATATCCATGCCCTGTGTCATGCAGAGCTTTTTAGATAGCAATCAGCACTTTGAATTGCATCCATAAACCCAATAGTAACCTATACATTTTTCATAGCAGAGTTACTTTCTTTGCATAATCTGACTTATTCCAGGTTTTGGGCCTTGAATTTAATTCTTTGCTTTTACTTTTCAGATCTCGACACATTGTGAAAAAGGCCCTTTCTATTGACTTAACTTTTTTCTGAATTGGAAAGGTCATTTCATTTTTGTCTTAGACTTAGACAATTCATGTGCCACAAGTTATTCTTGTGACGTGTGATATTGAACTATTTATCTGAAAGGTGACTAGATTTTGCATTCTGGATATTATCAATCAATAATAGCTTGAATTTTAGATGACAGCATTTATCATTTTACTAGCCCTTAGAGATCAATAAATACTTAATAAAAAGGAAGGTATCCAACCAGAATTTCTTCTACTAAGTAAGTCTAATATCATAGAGGTGCTCTCCTAATAACAGTATGGCTATAAAACTACAAGTAGTCCTTGAGTTACAACAGTAATTAGACTTTGTATTTCCATTGTTAAGCATATAAATTTAATACAGAAATAAGAGATGCACTCATAACGCGTGACATCACATGATCGCATCACTTAACCACAATTCTAGGAGTTTTCATTTCTGTTGTTAGTTGAATTCCATCAGTCAGTACCCAAATCCAAGCCATTCCAGGCTTAGTTCCTATCAACCCCTGAGCTGCAGTTTTTTTCCAAGATAAGGATTGCCTCTCCTTCCAATCCCCTCAACTGCCTATTTCCCCCACCTATGCATTTTTGACTGCCCTGCACTCTGCCTTATAGGGCAGCAAGCAACGCCAGAATTTCATGGCTGTGGCTCTGTTTGCCATTCTGCATCTCAGACTTCTTGGCTCACTGTAGCTCTGGGGCTGCAAAAAATCCATGTACAAAGCATGAATTCCAGCCATCCCTGGAAGCCTCATCCGCCTTAGCCCAGCCCACTAGCATGGTGAGGTATGCAGCCGACTCAGGAAGCCCCAGCCTGTCCCAGCAAAGTAGTGCAGAGCTGCAGCCCCAACCCACCTCTTGCCCTGGCCCTTTGTGAAGCAGCAGCTGCCTTGTGAAGGGCCAGACCAGACCAGGCATGCTTGTCAACAATAGGAGCAAGAAGACTGCGAAGGTCAGCTAGGGTAGCATGGAGTGCAGGGTACCAAAAGAGCATAGATGGAGCAAGAAGGTAGAGGGGTGGGGAAGTTTAAGGAAACGTGCAGTTGTAAGTGCAGGCAGGCTGCCAAGTGCCCAAATTTTGATCACATGGCCACAGGTTGCTGCAATGGTCGTAACCTCAGGGACTGGTTGTAACTCCCTCATTCAGTGCCACCATAAGTTTGGTCACTGAACAAATGATCATTGAGTGAGGACTTCCTATATAGCTGATACAGAATGTTTTTAACATTTCTGAAGCTGTTCCAGATATGCAATGTACCCACATGCTTTATTCAAAGTATTAAATAGCAAGTTATTTTTCCCTTTGCAAAGAGATTGATGTTGAGTTTAATTCTAAGTAGTGGCAAATGTATTTGTTTGACTTTTTATAGTAATGTATAGTTTTTTTAATATTATGTTTATAGGTCCCATGCAGTTGCTTGTGTCAATCAGTTTATCATCAGTAGAACTCAAGCCCTTATGATGCACATTGATGGATTTATTGAGGTGAGCGATTCATATCTGAGTGTACCTCTTGTGGATAATTATGATGTATTCCTCTTTTTCCGAATGCCATTTTCCATTGCTTCAAACTAATCCCATTTGGATTGAAGAGAGAGCAAGTGGACAGTAATATTTCTTTTTTTTCCTTGATAAAATATGACAACATTTACAAAAAACTACTTTAAAAGCCCCAGCCAGTAACTATAAAAATTGAGAATTTTATTTCAGTTAATAATTGAGTTGCTTTTTCAGACATTTCCAGGGCCCAACTTTTCTGACTTTTTATTAATGTCTAGCCAAACAAATGGTCTAAGTAGTTCTCTATTTGTCTGACTTCCAGCTATGCTGGTGTCTGGTTGATGAGGGTACTTTGTCTACTTTTAAACTCCCTATTCTCTGCCCTGGCAGGATTGATTGGTATACCTGTTTGCTTGTAAATAAATGTATCTGCAGTACATAGCAACCATTTTTATTTGTAATTAACTGATCTGAATGATGTTGAGCATTAGAAGAGACAGAACGTCCTGTACAAACTAAAACAGTTCTGTCTTGTCTACTAAAAGTATCTAAGCTGAGAAAGTTTTATCCATGGTTTAGCTTTTGTTACATTTATAATGCAATACAAATGTCTGCATTGTTGAATTAAAAGCATGAATATTGTTCCAGAACAGTGAGGTCTAGAAAGCTCTTAGGTCCATCATTTTTTGCTTTCAAATAATGTAGACTACTGAAAGAATCATGTTGATAATGTGAATATTAATTCATAGTGATCTACATCTGTCTATCTACCTATCTGTCTGTCTGTGTCTGTCTGTCTGTCTGTCTGTCTGTCTGTCTGTCTGTCTGTCTATCTATCTATCTATCTATCTATCTATCTATCTATCTATCTATCTATCTATCTATCTATCTATCTATCTATCTATCTATCTATCTAACACTTCTGTTCTTGTTTTTTGGATTCCCCTTTAACAGAATCTGTTTGCATTGGCTGGGGATGAGGAGCCTGAAGTACGTAAAAATGTTTGTCGGGCTCTGGTAATGCTGCTGGAAGTTAGAATGGACCGTTTACTTCCTCATATGATTAGTATTGTTGAGGTAACACTTTGCATGTATTTTTTTTTAAAGTATTAAGATGATACATTCTTTGAATTAGGGGTTTTTGGCAGATGCAACTTTTCCATTATTAAATATATAAAAATGTTTGAAAATCAAATCTGTAATTCAGAATTATTTCTTAATGTCCTGCTTGCATTGCCTGTTGATCTATTTTCTCTTAAGAGTGCATGCATGTATCTGTGTGTATTACTTTAGTATACAGAACAAAAGTATACAAAAAAGAATGTAAAATCAGTCATTTTTCAAACACAGTGTTGATCACAAAGCCAGTTCATAAGCAGACAGTAATATATTACTAATTTAATATTATAAATCCAGTCTGCCCTTTCCATTATGAAAGAATACTCTTGTTTGCTTATAACCTGTAATTCTTCCTACTGGTTTGTTCTACTACATCATTCAAAATCACATTCACATCTTTTTCTTACCAAAACCATATTAACAAATATGGAAATAAGATTTAAGAAACCAAAATAGGATGATAGTGAAACATCCCATAGCGTTAAATGTCCATCATTTTCTTCCAGTATATTGAAGTTGACTGCTTCAGACATTCTCTGAGATATCTAGTAAATATATTTTGTTAACTAAAATTCATCATAAGTTCATTAGAAGTATATGCCATATTCTTTAAAATCCTTAACCAATACTTTCTTAAAATGCAGTATTTATATAATTTGTTCCAAATATTTGCAGATAATTTTGTATACCCTAACAAAACATTTTAATCTTGTCCCTACCCTGGCGAGATGAGTGGCAAACAAATTTTTAAAAAGAAAGAAATATATTATGTGAAAATTAGTTTCTTGTTAAAGATACAGCTTCAGGTTTATACTGTCCATTTAATAAATATTGTTTCCTATTGGAAGAACCCTAAGTATGATCTCTGAAAAAAATGCATGTAAAAAACTAATTTGTTGTATTTTGTGGAAAAAGAGAATTTTCATATCAGCAGAAAAAAAGAACAGTGAAAATAAAAGCAGTAAAGACAAAACAAAACAACCCCAAAAAAAGAAATAGAAAAAGAGAATATTGTTATAAGGACATCAGATCCTCTTTATTTTCAGTCTCTCCCAATAATTATATAGAATGAAAATACAGAATAGGAACTATCTCCAAAGCTCATCTCTTTCTGGAAAATGAAAAAAGAAAACATTGGAAGACTTATGTCATTACTTCAGATGATTCTAAAATAGTAAAGTTTATACAGTTTCTGCATCAAAAAGGTTCATCCTGGAATCCAAGAATAGCAATAAAAGATGACAACAGAGTTCCCCTACTGAACTCATTTTCTGAGGCAGATATTCTTTTACATTCTGGTCCCAAAATCTACTTGCCAAATTCAATGCAGAACATGATCCTATACTTCTCAAACATCTAAGAATAAGACAAAGTTTTTCTACAGAATGGGAATGCAAACTCACAGAGAATCAATTTCAATTAGATGCTATATCAGTTGCAATAAAAACCAATTCTTATGCATATAGGTAATCTACTGATAAGTGATAGCTTAGTGACTATGCAAAATAACAACAGATCTCGCTGGAGGTACTCATGACCTAGAGTTGAAGTTACAATGGCCAGCCCCCCCCCCCCTGCAATCACCTGACGCACTTTGGGTGTTTGGCAGCTGGCCTGCATTTACAGCCATATGCAGCATCCCGTGGTTATGTGCCCATGTTTTACAACAGATTTGCTACAAACGGGAATTTACTTCCTGTTTTCGGCAAAACCGGTCCATAGCAAATTGTTGATTTGCTTAAGGTCCATTGCAAAAAAGGTTGCAAAATCGGGTCAGTCATTATTTAAGACTAATGGCTCCATTATGGTCGTAACTCAAAGACATTTATACATTTATTTACAATTTACCATTGAGCATGCTTGGTGTTTTAAAGGTTGTTTAGGAATGATAAGATATGATGTCTGACACCTGTCTGTAAAATAGAACTTGTAAGTCGTGACAAAGCGTAACACATAATCTTAAAAGTTCGATTCAGACTACACTTAGAGAGTGATATAAAAAAAAGTAAGACGACGACAGACTAAGATTTATTATATAGGGACGAAGTCGAGGGGTTTCAAGGTCATCTGTATATCTTACTTCAGAAATATACGTATTATTTGGTTGTTCTAAAAGTTTATAAATTATGGGGAATTGCTTTTAAAGTGATAAGCAATTATACATAGCTTTCTTTTCATATTGCTTTGTCTGGTGTTCTGGAATACGTTTAACTGCAGACTTTCCATTGTTCTTCAGCTTAATTGAGCTGGGCATCAAGTGCCTGGATCACAAGTATGTAGCTACAGGGATGTTGTGACAATGGAATTCTGATGATTGGGCCATAAGTCCCCCTTGATTGGGCTATAAGTCCCCCATCATAACTTTGTGCTGTTAATGAAAAAGTGGTCATAGCCTAAGGACTACTTTAATATAAAACATTACAAGTTGTTAATGTGAATACACAGATTTAAATATTGCCTGCACATTGTCTCATGCTTTATTTTTTAACATACTAGATTGCAGAATAAAAACCTTGGTATGAGCTAAGCCATAGTTTACAGTGTGCAGTCATTAGCAGTCATTTCTATAGCCACAGCAATTATGTTTCCAATTATTAGTGACAACATTTTGAAAATAGATGGCTGCTTTATATTACGGTTGATGAGAAATTCATTTAATTTGTGTGTTTAAGGTAAACTTTCCTAACTTGCTAAATTGAAATACAAACAGAAGTCTATTTACATTTCAATATGTGTTTTTTTTCCTTAGTTGGAAATTGGACAAACTCTACTTGAGTTTAAAAAGTGGAAAACTAGGGGAACAAATTCTGATCTATATGTGAACCAGCACAAAACATTCCACTTTTCAAATTTAATAATATAATAATAGCAGGCAGTCGAGAAAATCAGTTTGTAATATAATAAATATTTTACCAATACAGTTTAGGGCACATGCGGTATTTGATTATTCAGTAATACAATGATGGAGTCTAGGAAAACAACAAACAATGATGATTCCTGTTTCTAGGAGAATTGGCAGAATTCCGAAAATAAAAATTTGATTAAATGTTTAGAAATGGGAGATTGGATGCCAAAATATTATTCTACTAGGATAAATTTGTATAAGGCAAAAGGAGAGCTGATCTTTAAGTAGCCAGAATATAGAGAATATGTGATCTATACTTATTCATATATTAAACACCCATTTTTCCAAATTACCCATATGATAATAGAATGTTATATGAAAGGGTTTTAGTTACATCGTATTTTCAAATGGAGTTTCTGTTTCTTTTTACTTTCTTACCATAATATGTAGTACATGCTGCAAAGAACTCAGGACCAAGATGAAAATGTGGCTTTGGAGGCTTGTGAATTCTGGTTGACTTTGGCTGAACAGCCAATTTGTAAAGATGTATTGTATCGGCATCTTACTAAGTAAGTTTATTTCCCCCTTAATATTATATTAGCTTATTTGAAATGTATGTGCATGTTTATCTCATTATGTCTTTAAAAACTTTTAAACATGTTTCATGAATCCTGTATAGTCATTATTTGGAACGTTTAAATTAAGATGGTAATTGTACCTATGTACCCATGGACACATAGTAACTTGATACATAGTTTTGCATGCTAAAATAATTTTTATGAAAGTTGTGTAAAAGCTAGTAATATCAGTGAGAACTTTCATGTGGCACAATCAAGGGAATGTCTGTTTCTCCATGAAAACACTTCATGCTTTTCCCATGTTATATAACACAACTGCAGACCACTTAACTCTCGTTTGTTTAAAAAAAATTGTGTTGTATAAACTTAGTGTAATTGTTTCTTTTGTTGGAAAGAAGCCATATTTGTGAGGGAGTCAAATTTTCTTTTACTATTTATTTAGCAAATGTGTGATTCCTGGTGGTTAACAGTATAAATAAAGTCTCAATCAAACATAACAGTAAATACAATCAAGCCAAAGTATCAATTTCCTTCTTTCCCTGAAAGTTCTCCAGGACAATTTCATCTTTATTAGTTATTGGAAAACCATTGGATGAATATCTGAAAGATGGCCCCAGTGATGGGGGCCATCACTGAAAATCCCTGTTGCTGCACCTTTGTTCTCCCTCACTTTTCTAAAATGGTAGATTTATTAATAATTTATCCAGCAAGAAGCATATTAGAAAGATTACATTTGAAAGAAATTGTCCTGAAAACAACTGATAGCCACGCTTTACATGAATATATAAATTAAAACTAGCACTTTGAATTACACCTATCAACTAATTAGAAGCAAATACGGGGCCTGCAATATGGTGCTAAATGACTATGATTGCTATTGCTCAATCAAATGGTATAGTCCATTTGGCTGTGATACGTATGTATGTGTATCTGTGCATATGTATAATCAAAGAAACGCTTTAATATCCTGAAATGGCATCCTGTGGAATATTCAAAATTTTATAGTTCATGATTTTTAATACATGCTAATTTTAATTTGATTTAAAAAAAACCATGTCTTTTAGAAATCCAGGCTCAAATTTTTGACTATTAAAGTGAGCAGACATTATGTCAGCATTTTCTCTTAAATAATTTACGTGAGTTTGAATGGTATTTGAAAATTTTAAAGAATGTGAACTCCTGCTTATACGACTTTAGGAATTGATATTCCATAACTTAATTTTTTTCTATGTAGGTTGATACCTGTCCTTGTAAATGGTATGAAATATTCAGAAATAGATATCATTCTGCTGAAGGTAGGAATAACTATACTTTGCCTCTGATACCCATGATTTTTTTTATTTCTGTACATCGAGTAAAATGTGATATGTTTCAGTATATCCATTTTCTTTGAAATTAGCACCAATATACCCAAAGAAACTTGATTCTGAAGAGATACTATTGTACGTAGAAGTTAATAACTTCTGATCAAAATACATGATTCGTTGACTCCCTAAGTAGCTTCTGTGTGATACAAAGTGAAACACAATATCTAACAATTTGATTGCATACTTATTTTTTTTAGTTACTTATAAATATAAAATAAAATATATATACTATGTAGAGGTTGTGCCAATTTTGATTCATTTAGGGATTATCAGAAGTATATTATCTGACCAGATTGTCCAAATTTTTGCCTATAACAGTGATGGCAAACCTATGGCACGGGTGCCAGAGGCGGCACTCAGAGCCCTCTCTTCAGCTGGGTTTTATAAAACCTTTTCGCTTTAAGCCTCCGCCGCCGTGTGCAAAAAAAAAAAAAAGGTTCAATCAATCAGTCAATTTCAATTTCTTGCGGGGAAAAAAAGATCTTGCAAAGTTGGAATTGATTGATTGAGCTTTTTAGTCCCATCCAGTCTGCCGTTACTACTGCAGCCATGCCCACCCAATGGGCTACACCCAGCCAATGGCCACACCCACCCGGCACCCGACGATGCATAAATGGGTTTTGGGTTGCAGTTTGGGCACTCGGTCTCTAAAAGGTTCGCCATCACTAGCCTATAACTTTATGTGTAGAAATGTATTATTAATAATTCTTAGTGGTTTTTTAGTAACATATTTTGGTAAGTTATTTGCTATTTTCTACTTCTTAATCATTGCAAATTTAAACATATATTTGGTGTTTTAACTGAGCATATAATTTTTTTAAAAAAACCATTGATATAGCATAGAAAGGACCAAAGTATTGTTGAAACATCTCTCTCTCTCTCTCATTTTGTTCTTTGGTTTTGATAATAGGGAGATGTTGAGGAAGATGAAGCAATTCCAGACAGTGAACAAGATATAAGGCCTCGGTTTCACCGTTCACGAACAGTAGCTCAGCAGCATGAAGAAGATGGTATTGAAGATGAGGAAGATGAGGACGATGACCTTGATGATGATGACACTATTTCTGACTGGAATTTAAGTACGCTACTTTTCCAGCTGAAATAATGTAAAACGTGTGAATATATCTGTATATCATATTAAGCTTAGTTTAACAATTGTTCAGAAGTTAGATATGTTACATGGTTGCATTGTATATGAGATTTGGGTGCCATGATCTTATTTTTATTTCATGTTAATGCCCCAACTCTACCCCAAATTAAGGGATTACAGGGTTGTAATTCTTGGTTGCATTGTATACTGCCCAGATTTATGTCAGTGAGAAAGATACCTGATCGATAAATAAATAAAATATTGATTGCAAAGATATAAGGGTTTAAATTTATCTAACAAAAAAATCTGAAGCACTTTTCCCAACTACAATATTTAAAAGGCATATGCTCGTGTGCCTTCTTTCTTGCCATTTAATAAAATATGGCAATCTGAAAATGGGCTACCATGCTCCTTTTGAATGTTTTTCCAGCATAGACTAACAGGCCTCCTCATACAATGTTTAGTATGGTAGGATAATTTTAAGTCCTTTGTATTTTATTCTTTGTTACAATTTCTTCATAATTTTCAACGAATAGCATGCTATTGGTAATATTGCAAAATAAAGTGGAGGGAGGTTTTGAAAGCATAATAGACCATACCAAAATATGTATATATTACATTTCTTTAGGGAAATGTTCAGCGGCTGCCCTTGATGTTCTTGCCAATGTATTCCGTGATGACCTGCTGCCACATATTTTGCCCCTTCTAAAAGAATTGCTTTTTCATCCAGAATGGGTGGTGAAAGAATCAGGCATCCTTGTTCTAGGAGCAATTGCTGAAGGTAAATGATGTTTGAGATTCATGTTGTATTTTGTTACTGTTCATAGTGAGTAAGAAACTATGATAAATCTAAACATGGTGAACATAAATCTAAATAGAACATATTCCTGCTGCAAGAAATATGAGAATGAGACATGCAAGAATAAGTGATGTGATGGCTTCAATTTGTGTATTATATATTATTTAATTACACTTTAGTGAGATACTAGAGAGATAATCCTAAATCTATCTGGAAACAAATTTGAAAAAGTTATTGTGGATGGATAGAAGTTAAATAGACTCATTGTACCAACATAGAACTTTTTAGGCATATGAAATTTCTTCTGTTTTAAATTACACTCCCCTGCGCGCATGCCCCAATGCCTCCCTACCAGATACCTTATGTGAAAACAATTAAGCGTTGGAGATGGACAATCAAATGTACTTGGGTCCATGTGGCTCTTCTCTGCAGTTTGGCTACTTTTGTTTTCTGCCAGTTGAAATGCACAAAAGACAAGAAAGCAAGTTCTTTGTGATGGTTGAACTAATACATGCATGTCTGTTTAGATGTGAGTGAATGTGCAAGGTAATGTGTAAGAGTAAGTGCTTATTGCCAACTCTTCCTGATAAGGAAGGCCCCTTTAATAATATAGTTCTCCATGGCCCCCTTTTGTAAGAAACACCTACCTTAGTCAAATGAGTCCCCACCTTTAGTTTAATCTAGCAGGAAAAAAATCACTTCTCTAAGTAATATATAAATTCTAAAGTCTAGAAGGTGGAAAAAATCCCAAAAAATAGAAGAAGCAATTTTGGTTTTTTTCCCAGTTCCACATCAGAATTGTTTTCAACTAGGTTATTTTGCAGCATCTTGATCCTTTGTTGTAGATATCAATAAATATAATTGTGCGTAATGGATTAATATGGATTAATACATTTTTTTCTTCTGTTCAATCATGTCTGTTTCTCGTACAAGTCCCTTCAGTTTTCTTAGCAAGGTTTTTTCAGAAGTGGTTTGCCATTGCTCTTTTCCTAGGGCTGAGAGAAAATGACTAGCCTAAGATTACCCAGCTAGTTTTGTTCCTAAACTAAAATTAGAATTTACAAATCTGTGCAAGCTCTGATACCCAGCTTTTTTTATAACTGATGATGCAAAAACGTGGACAGTGACCCCTTCTTTGGTATGCAGATTACAGACAATTATCTTTGATTCCCCAGCCGTCTCTATTTAGATTACTAACTGACATTCTGGATATACATTTAGAATAATTTAAATCAGCATTGGTAGGCTTGTTGGATGCCGAAGAGGCATTGGATATGATTGAATTGAAAGTTTAAAACAAGCTTTTAAGTATGAATTTCTTGCATTTTTATTATGTGAATCAATATGGGCTTCATTTACTATAAACAATTGTACCATCATCTGTTCAGGCATCTTATTAAATTTGTCTCTCTTGATTTTTAATTTCATATTGGAATTGTTGGTCTGCCATTTTAGAAAAATGGAAGACATATTGGGTATAAGAATGTCTAACCTTGAACCCAAATTGTTATTGCCCTTTGGAATGCTTATCCCGGTGCTTGGATAATTAGCAAGAAGAGAATTAATGTTTATATTTATATTCATTGGAGAGAAAGGGATTACAAGAGAGTAAGCTGGCAGTTCTTGCAACCATTTATTTAACAATCATTTGAAGTTACAATGGCACTGAAAAAAAGTTATATACAACTGGTTCTTCTGCTTATAACCATTTCAGCATTCCCATGGTAACTTGATCAAAATTAATGTGCTTGGCAACAGGCAACAATTGCAGGATCATGTGATTACCATTTCAAACTTCCCAGTAGGGTTCTGATAGATAAAATCAATGGGGGAAGCAGAATTTGCTTAATAACTGCTTAGCTGTGTATCTTCCTTCCTCCCTCCCTCCCTCCCTCCCTTCAACAGTCCTCTATATTTTTCTCTATAAAAATTATGGCTATGATAGAATATCATTTGGCATATATTTTTACTTCATATTGTCTAGAAAATTCAGGAAGAAAATCTATAGGCACAATTAGAAAAGATATTATGTGATTCATCTGAGATCACAGTAGGGGCTTGGGTCTTTTTGTCAGAAATAGTTGTGCTGTATTTCCAGTATTGAAGGCTGCATGGCACACTTGAAAATGTTGGAACAAAAATAGCATTTCAATTCTTACTACATAACAAACTTAACTATGGAACAATCCCAACATGATAATTGCAGGGCAATTATTCCTTTGAAAATTGTGGGCAAATAGATTGTTAAACTATTTATTTATTTCCTATTTCATTTCTTATTCTAACAGGTTGTATGCAGGGCATGATTCCATATCTTCCCGAGCTCATCCCTCACCTTATTCAGTGCCTCTCTGATAAAAAGGCTCTTGTGCGCTCCATTACTTGCTGGACTCTTAGTCGCTATGCACATTGGGTAGTCAGTCAACCCCCAGACACATACTTGAAGCCATTAATGACTGAATTGCTAAAGCGTATCCTTGATAGTAACAAGAGAGTACAAGAAGCTGCCTGCAGGTACGTCACAGTGTAGAAATATTAGCCATGGCTCTCAGAGTACATACTGAAGTCTACAGTATTATTTTATTTATTTTTGTTGAGTAGCTCCTTTCTAGTTGACCAGAAAAGCCATTTTAAGTCATTCTACTATAATTATATTTGCTTTTAACAGCTACATTGTATTTGTTTTCTAAGGAAATTACAAATTTTATTTTTGTTAAATATATACAAGGATTAAGTGTTAGATAAATAAGTTCTATTCTAGCTATTAACAATAAGAATATATTCAATAGAAATCTTATAATAATTCCTCATGTCGATTAGAACCTTTGATTCCATATAAATTAATAATTTTTAAAGGATTTATTATTTTATTTAAGAGGGAGAAATACATTCCTTCATCCTGTAGACTAATCTTTTGCCTTTTGCTTTTTAGTGCCTTTGCTACTCTAGAAGAGGAGGCTTGTACAGAGCTTGTTCCTCATCTTGCTTATATACTTGATACTTTGGTATTTGCATTTAGTAAATACCAACATAAGAATCTGCTCATTCTTTATGATGCCATAGGAACTTTGGCAGATTCTGTAGGCCATCATCTAAATAAACCAGTAAGTATTGCCCAGAGTTACCTTGAGATAAGAGGGGGTTCTATAAATTTTATAAATAAATAAATTGTATCTCTTAATTCTACAAAAAAACTTGACTTTTTATTCACTTTATCAAGCATTCATTCTGGATAAGTATTTTTTGGAGATTTCTTGCCCAAGTTATTTACTTTATTATTTATGAATATTCCATTTTTTGCTTTATATTTGACTTAAGAAACATTATAAAATATTACTTGAAACTTCATGAATAAAATACTACATAGCTAAAGCTTTAAAAACCATGCCTAGATGTTTTCCTTATAATTATTCAAATGCTTCCATGATAGTATTTCCATTATTTTATCATAAATACAGGAACAAAGTCAGCAAGACAGGAACCAGTGATTCCTGCTGATTCCTATTCCAGTCATTCCTGGAATAGGACCATTTTGTAAACATAACGTTGGTGCCCAGGGTCAACAAGTGACTGTCAAATATGTGTTAATTTGGGAGTGTGGGAGAAGATCTCTAGAGTCTAAATTGCTAAGAATATTGTTGGGGAATGGGCACTCAACTGTGGTCAATCAAGGGAATCTACATAAATACTAAAAAAAAACTAAATAAAGTTTTGTAGAGCATACATTCTGTGTAATTTTCATTGTCTACAGGAATTCATCCAGATGCTTATGCCTCCATTAATCCAAAAATGGAACATGTTAAAGGATGAAGATAAAGATCTTTTCCCTTTATTAGAGGTAATTGCTGCTGTTGTTAGAAATAGTTCTTTGATCTTTATAAATCATCATTTTATAAATTTTCTTCCTTATGATGTCAGCTTTTAATAGGGGAATTGAAGCTTTCTAATTCTGCATCCATATAATTAGGAATAAACCCCATTCGTTTCATGAAGATCTTCTTTTGACAAGACGAGATATAATTGCACCATAACATGGTGGTTCTGAGGATTTTCTAGGAATTAGCTTTCTGTCACGTAAGAATGTGTTTCTGAAAGAGTTGTAGGATTAGACTGCAAAGAATCAGTGGAGAGTTCCTATGGTCTTGTGTGTTCAAACATTATGATGATGTCCCCACATTGTTGTTAAGTTTCTTAATCTGTGAATATATGAGCTTATTTTATCTTTCAAAATTTGCCCTTTTAAGCAGAATTAATGCAGCAAATATCTTTGACATACTATGTAATGGTACACATTTTACTTAATGTGTCTCCTGTATTTCAGTGCCTGTCTTCAGTTGCCACTGCCTTGCAATCTGGCTTCCTTCCCTACTGTGAACCAGTCTACCAGCGCTGTGTGAACCTGGTACAAAAGACTCTTGCACAAGCCATGGTATTTTCTGTTACCAGTTTTCATAGCATTAGAAAATGTAGCTTCAGTGGAATTTAAACTCCCTGATTGATTATAAAATTCTTTGATCAATTTGCTGGTTTGGGGAATAGAAGTAATGAAAATTATACACTGTAATGTTGCATACTTAAATCTTAAATATTGATTATGTCTTTTCTTAGTTGCATAATGCTCAGCCAGACCAGTATGAAGCTCCAGATAAAGACTTCATGATTGTGGCTCTTGATTTACTTAGTGGTTTAGCTGAAGGACTTGGAGGCAACATTGAACAACTAGTGGCTCGGAGCAATATCCTGACACTGATGTACCAGTGTATGCAGGTGAGATAAATAATCTCATTCTCTTGCCTTATTACTTTTTAGTTTCTAAATAAAAACAAAAGCTTATTTCTTTTCTCCTAGGATAAAATGCCTGAGGTACGACAGAGTTCTTTTGCCTTGCTAGGAGATTTGACAAAGGCATGTTTTCAGCATGTGAAGCCCTGCATTGGTAAGTAACTTAATACTGCAAGCTGTTACCATGTATAGTTTGAACTGCCAACTCATACTCGTTGTGTTTTTTTAATTTGATATTACAAGTCCTTTATATTGCAAATCAATAATGATGGCTGGAGTAATAAAAAATTGCCATAAATATATGTGTATATTTATGGCTTGGACCTGTTTATAGTGTTTTTATTACCAATATGCCATGGTAGGGATTATTTCACTGAATAATTTCTTACCTAGAATGATGGGAAAGAAGTGATTGTTTCCTATTTGTTTGCTTTACACCATGGGCGTCAAACTCGATGCATCACGTGTGCATTGTGACATAACATTATGTTTTTTGCCTTTGCAAAGCTGGGGTGGGCCTGGCCTGCGCGTGATACATCCGGTCTGTGGGCCGCCAGTTTGACACCCTTGCTTTACACAGTCTTTCTGCCTTGGCTTAAAGAAATCTAGTTTAATACTGATGCGTATTTTCTTCAACTCTGTAAAGTTTTCCTATTCCGTAATCCATATAATGATTGTAAACTGTCTGTTATCCTGAAGTACTGTGGATTACAGTGTAATCTTAGTTTCATCTGCATCCTGCTAATAAATAAATAAATTCTGATAAAACAACCAACAGATGAAGCTTTAGTTTATTAACTGGATTACCTCCTTTAGCAGCAGTGATTTCACCTGTTGAGCACTCTTACACATTGGCCTTATGGTATTTTGACCCATTCTTCTTTAAAAAAAAAACTACTTCCATTCATTGCTGTTTTATGTGGCCTTGCACAAATTCAGAGCTAACTCAGTGATTTATTTATTTTCTACTTTTATTTGTTTTTCTTATAAATAATTCAAGGTGGTGAAGTTCCTCCTCCTTTTCCCCCCATAACAACTCTGACATGGGTTGGGCTGAAAGAGAGTGATTGCTGCAAGGTTGCCCAGCTGACTTTCATGCCAAAGTGGGATTAGAACTCACAGTCTCCTGGTTTTTAGGCTAGCACCTTAACCACTACACCAAATGGCTCAGAGTATGTGCCTTAAGTTTTGAAGCCCTAGGACAGTGCATACTCAACCCGAGTCTAAAGCAAGCCTTGCATGAACCGCTTGCTTTTGAATTTGCTGCAGTGTTGTAATTGGAATGTGGCTGAGGCATTTGTTTGGATATTTCTAAATATAATATTTCTTCTGCCTTTGATATTCTGATTAACTTTTGTATATAGAATCACTCTTGTATTGTGTAACTCCCATTCATTTAAACTTCAAGTCATAGATATACTGACGTGCTCTTGTAGAATTTGTTGGTAAAATCCAGAATCTATTGTTCCTTCTGTGTTTGTGAGCCATTTGGATCGTGAGGTTGCAGAACCTCCCCAAACCATGATTACAAATAGTTTTTAAAGATTACAAGCAAGTTTATAAATAGTTTTTAAAAGTCCACCAGCTTTCTCTTACACTGTATATAGGTCATGTGTTCAGGAAGATTTCTGATAGATATGGATGTATCATTTTGCTGACTAGTTTTTTCTTGGCAATAAAAGAGTGAAGCACGGGCTATGTGAATTGTCACGTTACATAGTTTAATTGAGAATAACATTTTTCTTCAGTGGAGGAAAGTATCCTAAAAGCAGTGTTATTCCTCTCATTTGTTCTAGTAGGCATTAGTAAGAGATGCTAACAGTTGCTAAATGAGACAGAACCAACTCCTTCTTCCAGCTAGGTTTCTGCTAGGTTCCAGTGCCTGGGGTTGCTAAAGACTGAGAAGTGAATAGGAATAAATCCAAGCATAAACACAGTGTACTTCTTCCATCTATAGTGGTGTTTATTGTCCAAAACAAAATAAATAATTAGTGCTTATATTTCCAGTTTACTCTTATCTCTTTAATGGGTGTGGATATATCTTAATTAAAGAACATACAATTTTGTTTATTTATTTTAATGTTTTCTTTACAATAATTACATAACTGTTTCACTTGGTCCATCCCTTATCCACACAATGTTTAGACCTGATTATTGAACTCCTATTATGTTAACTCCTCTAAATAGCTTTGCTTTGATTTTTTTCCTGTTTCTAGTCTTTCCTAAGTTAGAGGAGAAGTGAGGAGGAGAGAAAAATAACTCTTTGCCAAGTTTTCTTGGAAAGCCACACTGACTATAGTCATACTTCTCTGTTTTATCATAACTTCTTTTCTCTGTTGCTCAATTTTTTTTACCAACTAGTGTGCTCTGCAGTTCTTCTTTCCTGATTCTGTATGTATTAGTTGGGTCATCAATTCCGTTTCTTCCCCTCTGGTGATCCTCTTTTCTTTCTTGGTGACAGCAGCCATCCTGCTTCTTGAAAGCATGTATCATACCTCCAGTTGATTCAGAATCACACAGTAGAAATGACCCAAAAAAAAAAAAATCTGCTTTGCTTGACAATTCCTTCATAGAAATCTTGCTCCACCTCAAGTTAGATATGACTGCTCACAGCTATTCTGATTACACCAAGAGCTTCCTAAATGTCTACAAGGCACTTCCAATGCATTTGGTAAAAAGACAAAACTCCAGCGTGAGACAAATTACAATACTGTCATAATCAGGCAGCACATCTTGTCACAAGGCCCTTGAGAAGATTGAGCTTTTTTTCCTTTGTATTTTGAGATTTTTAAATGGAAGGAGAAAACAGTCAGTTGTGAAGGGGAGGGAGGTTGCAGCTGATGGCAAGAGTTCCAGCTGGTGTGAACATTCTGAGTGTTGGTTCTCCTTGCAATCTCAGGAATCCTTAATAAACAAATGATCAGTCTGTTTTCTGCCACCATGGATGCAGTCACTAGCAGGCTTGTCTCTAACTGCTTTTCTTTATATTGGTGTCATTTTCCAATATGTCTTTGCCCAACAGAGAATTTTTTTTTCCTGTTGCTCTAGTATTGTTACAAAATGTTGTTAGTCCTGCCTGTTGGACAAATGGGAGGAGCAACCCAGTTTCCAAGATATCTTCTGTCCATTTTAGAAAATGACTCTTCATTGCAAACCCCGGGTTCCCTTTTCCTCATATTCAGATTAAAATACCCTACCCTGTTTCCATTAATAGTGACTAATATTTAAATCTCAATTTTCACCCTGTTCTCTCATTTCCATACACTTATCTTTCCTTTTGGATTGCTATAAGGTAGATTGTAAATACCTGTTTTGATCAGATTTAGAATTTTCACCTACTACCTTCTTCTGACTGGATCCTAATAAATACTATGCTTACTTCACTTCCGAAATTGCTATTGCATGTTTTTTAAAAAAACAACAGGTTCCTATGACAAATGTATCCAAATGCCCGTAGTCTAGAAGGGAGATTAATTTTAATACATTGATATATCTATAATGGACTTTCCTGTTTGGATTCTGAACTTTTTTGTTGGGATGGTTTTATAAATAATGGGGGGGGGGGGGTTAAAATGTCAAGAGAATTTTCTGCTAAAATTATATTATGCTGAAGTTTTATGCTATGTTCTAGCAAAAGATAAATTTTAATGATAGGGCTTATTTTGTGTTTTTTCAGCTGATTTCATGCCAATTTTGGGAACAAACCTAAACCCAGAGTTCATTTCTGTGTGTAACAATGCCACATGGGCAATTGGAGAAATTTCTATTCAGATGGGTGAGATTGGCTTTTTTTTTAAATGCTAGTTTGAATTTTCAGTTGTGTAGTTATTTTTTGGTCTTGTAGCCACTTATAAATTCTGTCAGCTGTATTAATTTGCCATAATGAAAAGTGATTTTTAATGTATTACTTGTCTGTTGTTTTTTTCTAGGTATAGAGATGCAGCCTTACGTCCCTATGGTTTTGCACCAGCTTGTAGAAATTATTAACAGACCCAACACACCAAAGACTTTGTTAGAAAACACAGGTACCCTACAACTGATCTGTTTGCAGTGACTTTTAAAATGTATTACACAAAATTGTAGGAAAACTCCATCAGTGTTAAAAGCAAGAGGAAGTTTAGATGTTTGTTCAATCCAGTTTGTTTGTTACAGGTAGTTCTTGACTTACAACTATTTGGAGTTAACAATGGCACTGAAAAAAGTTACTTAAGACTGTTTTTCACACTTATGACTTATTGCAGTATCCCCATGGTCACATGATTAAAATTTGTTAACTTGGCAACTGGCATGTGTTTATTATGGTTCCAGTATCCTGGGATCATGCGATCACCGTTCGCAATCTTCTGACAAGCAAAGTCAATGGGAAGCCAGATTATCTTAACAACCATGTTACTAAGTTAACATCTGTAGAGATTCACTTAACAACTGTGGCAAGAAAGAACATAAAATGGGGCAAAATTCACTTAATGACTGTGTTCCATAGCAATAGAAATTATGGGCTCAATTATGGTCGTAAGTTGACTACCTATAAGCAACTCCTGCCAAATTAATTAGCTTTAGTTGCTTTTGCTTCTCTGATGTTGGGATTCTAACACTGAGCAAATGAGATATTCTGGAACTGTGTTGGTTGGGGAGGGATCTTCCATTAATGAACAATTTTTCCAGAGCACTCCCACAAGATTAGTAGGTTTGGGGCAAATTTGGAGCTAGGGTAATTAATTCCCTACAATTGAAACTAATGGGAAGGAATTTGTTTTGTATTAAGAAAGAGAAAATTTTGTTTGTTTTTTTTTTTGTCTTGCTGGCATGAAATTATCAATATTTTGTCCCAAAATCTCATTTCCAGTAGGGTTTTTTTGTAATAGTGCATAAGACCTCAACAATTTTAGCTAAATTACTAAAATCGAGTTATATTTATAATTAAAACAATCTAGACTTCTTTTTATATGAGACAAATTATTAGTCCTTTGCATGTAGCTTACTTGAAATCTTCATAATTGTAATGGACTACATGATGAAACCAAATAGGTTTAAGTGGCTGGACATTATACATTGTGCTAACATATACCATTTGGTTGATGTGTATTATGGTATTAGAACTGAAGGATGCTCTACAGTGGAATTGACTCTTGTGCTATACCCTGTGGAACATGTTTTTAACAAATTCTCCTGTGTTCTAGAAATTTCTGGTTACCTTTCTGGCTATGTCTGCATTGTAGTCTGAAAGCTAGACTACAAATGGTTATTTGTTTATTTAGATTTGCCCCCCACTTTTTAAATTTTATAATTAACTCAAAGTGGTGAACATACATAATTCACCTTCCTTCTCCTAGCTTCTCTCCAACATAACCCTGTGAGGTGAGATGTGGGATGATCTAGAGTAGAGGTGTCAAACTGCCGGCCCGCGGGGCAGATACAGCATGCCGAAACCACGCCTACCCCAGCTCCGGCAATGGGGAAAAAGTCACAATATGTCGCGACACGTCATGTGATCTGGCGAGTTTGACACCCCTGATCTAGAGAGAATGAGTGGCCCAAAGTCACCCAGCTGGCTCTCGTAGCTAAGGCAGGACCAAACCAAACTGCCACTCTAAATATGTATTTAAAGTCATAGTCTGGTATAGAAATGAATGACTATCAGAGCTTCAGTTTAAACCACTTTTGGCTGACTTTTAAGGATGTAGGTCAAGTTTCATTCTATGCATGTTTATTAAACTTATAATGGAAAGATGTAGTATAGTGGTGTATTTATTTCTGTAATGAAAACGAATTATACCTGTGATTTGACACCCTGTAAGCATTGCAGTATTCAGTAAGAGTGTTTTCAATAATTCTATCTTTTGGAATAATCCTTTTGAATGAAAGAAATATCCCAAATCATTACAGGAAATGAAGACTATACCCTTTTTAAATCATTATTGCTGCACTAGGTTTCTTTATGCAGAAATTAAAGGAAATCAGTTTCCTGAAAATTACAATTTAAATTTTCAAAAACGGATACCCCAGACATACTATATACTATAAATAAATGTTGAATGTGTTGCACATTAGATTTGTTGTGGGATATTCTGCTAAAATAATATAATACTGAAATCACAATTCAGAATTCATAATTTTAGTTATCCTGGCACAATACAGTAATTACACAAAGTAAAAATACATGCTAAACATAAGTGGTGCATACTTCTCAGCCAGTATATAAATTTTGACCAATGCTACTGTAAAGGAATTTATCCAGTTTGGTTTTTTGAACGAAAAAGTAACTTGATTACTAATACCAAGGTTTCATGAACAGTTTGATTTAATAATAAAGCTAAATATTTAATTTTATCCATATAGTCTTATAAGAAAATTTTATAATGTTGGTACATCCTACAACAAACCTTACAGTGAAAAAGAGCATCATCAGCTTTACTGCATGTGTTCATGAGATTTGTTCACACAAATGCCTGTTTTGGAGTGTTGCATAATGTCTTTTAAGCATAGGCTTCTCTGCTTCATACAAATCTGCTGGATTTTAGTATTCATGTAGTTTGCTTCAAATAATCCTTAAACATACCCACACTTTCCCTTTTCTGAAGAATTGCTCTGTGAGCTGAGAGAACACCAATAAAACATGTTTATGGCCACTTTCAAGTCAAATTTTCATACTAAAGACATGAAAATATTCAGATAGCAGATTACTCTTATTACATTTTGTCATATCTTTAGCTTTGAAACTCTTCTTAACAGAGATAAATGATGTAATATCTAATAAAACAATTTTTACTGTGAGAAGCTATGTGCATACTATCCTCTTTCCTATTTAATTTTAAATAATAAAAATAGCATTATGAAATGACTAATTGCTTCTGATATAATTCTGCTTGGATTTTCAAATGAATATTTATCCCATTAAATGTTAATTTGAAATATTACACAGAAATATTCATTATGTTAATAAATATGTTTCAAATTCCCTAAATAGAATAGTTGTTGCAATTAAACAGTATTAAAATATTGATTAAAACTATTCATTTGATTTTAATCATAATTTTGGTGTTCTCTCATTCACTTTATTCCTTTTTTCCTTTATTTCCCTGCCCTCCGCCAAATAGTATGCCACATATTGCTGCCCCTTATTTTTAGGGGTGGTAATGAACAGCACTGGTGAAATCTTATGTTTATTATCATACACAGGTTCTGTTGGTTTCTGTTTCTGAGTTATTTGTTGTTTTTTCTTTATTTTTCTCCTTACCCCCTCATTTGCTCATGTCTTGGTTGGCGTTTGGTGGTGTATAACCGTGATTGCGTTACCTTAGCAATAACAATTGGTCGTCTTGGTTACGTTTGTCCTCAAGAGGTGGCCCCCATGCTACAGCAGTTTATAAGACCCTGGTGTGTATTATTCAATCTTTTTTTAATTCATTTTTCTTCACTTTCTTCTTTCTTCCTTCCTTTCTTTCCTCTATTCTCACTTCTAGATATACTTTTCAGTTGGTTACAAATATCACTATTCTTAATCATTGCCAACCATGTGACTAATCTTGTCCTATCAGGTTTGTGAGGTTTTTTAGCAGTATGTTGTGTATATATTTCATGTTGTAGCTAACAACTAATTGATGCATGGGATAAGATTGTCACATGCTTGATGTGTCAAAGCTTGATTATTAAAAGCATTTAAAATCCACCAGAATGGTAATATGCATGCAAATAGCATAAAACATGAAACACTGCATTACATTACTTCAAATCATTTGCAATTTGACTTGCTGTTTGAGATACATGTTTCTAGATTTGTACCAAATTGCTTGCTTGCTGCTGTAACAAGTTAAAAATGTTATGTTATGATACATTATAAATTTTATATTGTTGCAGTATATACTGCTTTTAGTGATGGACAGTTCTATACATATATATATATATGTGTGTGTGTACATTTATATTAATAGAAGTATTTAATGGAATACAGGTCACATTCAATATCAGCTGTGGAACATAGAAAAGTAGCTGATTTAATATTGACAACCCTTGGGGAATTAAATAGGGCTTAATATATTAAAAAGGTAGAAAGTATGTAAGATTAATGATGGTTGCATTACTTAGTCTTTAAGGTCTTTTCGCTGTGACACTTATTCCATCAAATACTGTTAAAATTTAAATTAAAAGCAAAAAAAATCTAAAACTGGGTTCTTTGTTGTATTAGGTGCACTTCTCTGCGAAACATAAGGGACAACGAGGAAAAGGATTCAGCATTCCGTGGGATTTGTACCATGATTACTGTCAACCCTAGTGGAGTAGTCCAAGTAAGTCTTACTTTGGTCTTAATAAAAAAGGGAATTGAATTGAATTTAAATATTTGAATAATCAAATATGATTGATTAACAAAGAAATAAATATATATGAGCTGACTTAAGGTTTTGAAAGGGGAATGGGCTAACTATATAAGATATCAATATGAAAGATAATTGCAATTTATTTGGAATGTATTTTTGTGGGGCAGAAAAGTATAGTCTTATTTTTGAAATAATTTATTGCATTTCTGTTAATGAACATTTCTAATTTACAATTTCTATAAACATTTGCAGGACTTTATATTTTTTTGTGATGCTGTTGCATCATGGATTAGCCCAAAAGATGATCTTCGAGACATGTTCTGTAAGGTAATGGTTTTTTTTCAAAGGAGTATATTATTATTATTTTTTTTAAAAATGTGAGGTAACAGTGTTTTATATGGTACCAAGCCACTGTATTTTGAGGCAAATACCGTATATCATTTCTAGTGTGGATCTGTAATTTGAGATGATTCCATTTTTCCTCCTGTTGTTAAAAGAGTTCCTCAGTTAGCTTGCTTTTCTCCTTGCGCCACAGGCAAGACCGAAGAATGTTTCCTTTGTAGCTTTAGGTGGCAACAAACAGCATTTCCCACTAGTTCCTTGGTGCTACCTTTTTTAGTAAGAGCTTTTGGAGAAATTTTACTGTTTACTTTTTGTCTCCATTCCTCTTCAATTTTTTCCCTATAATTTGTCTTTTCCTTTCCTTTCTTCTTTCTAAGGGACTGTCATGGCTTATGATGGTCCAGAAAGTCTGTCACAGTCTCTGGACACATTAGAATGGTTAAATAAAATATTTCATTATTACTCTTGTCTTCCATATTGGAGAGATTGTATAGGTCAGGGGTAGGCAACCTTGGCTCTGTTATGACTCGTGGACTTCAACTCCCAGAATTCCTGAGCCATGAGTAATAAAAGAGTCAATGTTGCCTACCCTGGTATAGGTATAGGTATATAAAAGCTATTCCTCTAAGTTCAGAGGAAAATCACCTTTAGAATTCATCCAGTTTTATCCTATTTCTAAGGGCAACATTCGAAAACCAGCTTTTTCATTTGTTATATTAAAGCAGAATGGCTGTGTTTGCATATGCATGCATGGATGGATATGCATGCATGGATATGCATGCATGGAAGAACAGCTTCCAAACAGCTATAGCAGTGGTGGCGAACCTATGGCACGGGTGCCAGAGGCGGCACTCAGAGCATTCTCTGTGGGCACGCATGCCGTCGCTCCAGTCCTAGGCCTTCAGCTGGGTTTTATAAAACCTTTTCGCTTTAGGCCTCCGCTGTCATGTGCAAAAAAAAAATAATGTTCAAGCAATCAGTCAATTTCAACTTCTCATGGGAAAAAAAATCTTGCAAAGTTGGAATTGATTGATTGAACTTTTTAGTCCACCCAGTCTGCCGTTACCACCGCAGCCACACCCACCCAATGGGCCACGCCCACCCAATGGGCCACACCCACCTGGCACCCGACGATGCATAAGTGGGTTTTGGGTTGCAGTTTGGGCACTCGGTCTCTAAAAGGTTCGCCATCACTGAGCTATAACAATCTGCAAAAAATAACTGGATGTTTTAAAATGTATCTGTTGTCATGCATTCCAAAATATATCTTCCATAGGATTTACAAGCCCCTAATATTTGGGCATTTATTTTGCAAATGTCTCTTTGGAAAAAGTTAACTTTCAATTAATTTTCAGATCCTTCATGGATTTAAAAATCAAGTGGGAGATGAAAATTGGAGGCGTTTCTCAGACCAGTTTCCTGTTCCTCTAAAAGAGCGCCTTGCAGCTTACTATGGAGTTTAACCTCACGTATTCAAGCTGCAGTACCATAATTAGAGGTAAATTATTTATCTTTCAACTATTTATGAGATGCCTGTAGGACTTTTCCAATACATGAATTGTTCTGTTCTCTTTTTATTGGGCACACTATATATTTAACTACAGATGGTCCTCACCTTACAACTGTTTGTTTAATGATGGTTTGAAATAGTGATGGCCTCAAAAAGAGTATTTTATGGTTTGTAAAGCACTTCTAATTCACAAAACATTGCAAACACACACACATACCCCCGTGGTTATGTGATTTGATTTGGGTTTTTGACAACTATTCGCACTTATGACCAGTTGCCAAGCGGCCTGAAAACGGGATCACCATTTGCAATCTTCACTATCAGCCTCGATTAAAAAAACCAGTGGGGGAGCTGGCAGGAAATGTTGTAAGCTGCTGCTACCTGCCAAGAGGACTCATGCTCATATCTGGTTGCTGGCTGAAAGAGTTCCCTGTTAAAATCCAAGCAGGCACAGAATTGAAATCCTTTGGCACACAGTTCTTTCAGCCAACGCCAAGGGGTGAGAGGGAGTTGTAATACAAGTAAGATTTTCAGCCTCTTGAGTGTAGATGCATGCAGTAAGGAAAGGAGTGCAGGATGCTTCAGGACACCCAAGCACATAATTGTCTCTCAAAGCAAATCCTACTTGGATTTTCATCTCTTGAGCAGAGGGGCAATGCAGTAAGGTACAGAGTGCAAGGTGTCTCCAAGGTGGGGTGGGGGCCCTGGAGGCCTAGAGCAGGCCATGCATAAGTATATCTCTGCTCAGAGGCAGAATATCTGCTTGGATTTTGACAGAGAAGATTTTGAATTCCTGAGCAGAAAGACGTTCACGCAGCCTGCGCTAGGCCTCCAGGGGCATCCCACAGTGCTTACCCATCCGCTTAACAACCACAAAATGGTATCAAGGTAACTGTTGTTGAGTGAAACGGTCATGTGTTGTCTCACTTAATGACCGCTTCACTCAGTGACCAAGATTTCAATCATCAGCAAATTTTTGTAATCTCGTTTTTTAAAAAAAACATGCACAATGAAAACTGTCCTTGAGTGTACTTTATTAGTTCTGTAGAACTGAATTTGGGAGGTAAAAGAGTGATACCTGAATTGTAATTTCTGTGCATGTTATACAAGCTTTTAATAAACATTGGCAGAGACAATGGGCCTACCCTACACAATGTTGTCCCTAAACATTAAGTGATTTGTATGATTTAATTGAGCTTATTATTTCAGGTATAAATGGAACTAGAAATATTATGAGGTCTGTTGATGAAAAATTAATACAAAAAATGTTCAAGAAATAGCAGTTAACTTCACTCTAAAAATACTACAGTGGTGCTCTGTTATGCTGCATACTACAGAGCAACACTAATTTGTATTTCTTATCTGTGTTAAGAAGCGTGTATTAATCATAAAATGATTAAACAATTTGCTTTCTGAATAAAAACTTGTATTTGTTTCTTTCAGGTCCTTCAGTCTGGAAGACTGGGAGGAAGCCTCTGCACCCAGGGAAAAATGTTACCCTTTACTGGGGGGAAGGGTAAACCAGTAGGGAATACAGTACAATCCCAAGCCTACTGGGAGGGGCGGGAGGGAGGTGTTGCCGTCACTGTATTAAGCCGATGTTGGGAAATGTTTTAACATCTGGAGCTTTTGTGGGTGGAAATCTGTCTCCTGTTACAATTCTGCACTGGATGTGAAGATGCGCAAAAAAGTTTGTTCACAACAGCATATTCTGCAATATTATGGGGAATTGTACCAAAATGAAATTATAAAATAGATCCATAGGGGATATGTAAAGAGAAAATACATTGTGTTCATGCGATAAAGGAAACAGAAGAATGGCAATTACAGACAGTTAAAGGTATAACAAGGGGTTTCTGTATTGTTTCATCTTGATGGGATTCCTAAGTATTGCATGTTGATGAAGAACTAAACAAATGAAGTTAGTAGAGTTAAGGTGAAGCTTGCTACCTATATTAGGAGTAAGCACTTGCAGTATACAAATTTAAATAACCCCATAATGAAGTAATAAAGGCTAAAGCAAACAAATGAAGCAACCTGCAAGATGCCAAATGAGTCGCTCCTTTTCATTTTTAGTGGGGGGAAAAACGGGCATTTCAGAGGAAAGATTAATCTTTTTAATTTTCCATTTAAATGGTAGTAGATATGATTTGATGGTTGTGCTTCATTAGATTTAATTTCTAGAGTAAGGCATAATTCTTAATGTGCAGTTTAAGGTTCGGGCATGCATTTTGGGTCATAGTGATCAAGCATATTTTTAGTGGGAAAGTAGCATGCTTGCATCAAGGAGTGAGAGTGGTAAACATTACTTACCTTGCGCCAGTTTTGTGTTGCAGTTTACCAATTCGTGCAGTATAACCCTGCATTTAAAATTCCTTTAAAATTCTGTGGATTTTATTTTTATTAAGATATAAGTATAAAATACTGTAGTGACAATTAGGCCTCAAAATAATTTTTAGGATCTCTTAGGAATATGATTGATATTGTAATGTGTAACCTGCACAATGTGGAAAGCAGATATAGCTGTGCGAAATATTGCCTCTGTGCTGTCAGTGTGATGTGCTTTCTGCATGGTTATACTATTAGTGATTTTTATCAAATCTTCTAAAATGAGTTATAAGGTAAGACCTGTTAAAGGTTACATAAATGTTAGTTGATGCCTAAGACAATTGTAGAAAATTGATGACATGATTGCTACATTTCAGTGTTTATTCACACCCAACATATTTTATTGTTCTCTCCTCCATAAAGCATGATCTTAAGAGATGCATAAGTTAGTATATGTAAAGCAGGGTATCTACACGGTGTCAGCGCATGTTGGGGGCCCATTGTGTCTTAGACCACAAAAGGGTGCAGGTAAAAAGCTACAGAGTGAATGTTCGTTTGGATCCTTTTCATTTCATTTGTTTAGCTTTTCTGCTTCCCTTTTCTATTTGCTTGTATTTCTGTGAATAAATCCTTGTTAAGTTTACCTTTTACTTTTCTTTCCATGTGTATTTTCTTATGTACTGTGAATGTGAAAATCTAACTGGTACACTTGATTTTGTGTTACTATAAAAGTGAAAGTGTGATTAATTTAGACTGCATAAAGAGTATCCCATGATGATAAAGGAAAAATGGAAAGACAATAACTCTGCTGGTCAGAGATAAAGCCACACTTTTCCATTTTCCCTTAAGTGCTGCAAAATTAATAATCTGTGCAAAAAAAGAAAAGAAAAGCCATAACAACCGCCTTACATTTTAGCTTCTCATCTTTACATTGAAAAAATATATACTGGATAACCGTTTTGTAGAGAATGACTGTATGATTTTGATTCTTTTTAAGGTCTATTGTACGATTTAGCCATTGCACTGAACACCAACCTTGTATGAGTGTGAATTTATGAAATCTTATTTCAGGCTTTTTTTAATGCATGGGAGCATGCACAAGTCCTATACATTCCTTTTTTCCTTTGTAAATTTCATTGGGGTCAAATATGTTTGAAAATGATTTATTACAATATGTCCTGTATAAACGTCTATGAACAGGTTTATGCTACTATGCCATTAAAACCACTGGAATAAAATTACATATAGTGATCTACTTTCAACTAACTAACTTCTTGTATTGAAAGCCAGAACTTTCAGCTGACCTTTGCTGTAGCTTTTTCAATCAAGGAAGTATATACGAATTCCAAAGAAAGTAAATTTTAACATTTATTAAGGCCAGAACTTGCCTTTTGGCAAGAGTTTACATTTCTACATGGAATTCTCAAAGACAAAATTTTATTTATTTTGGCCCTTGTGTAGGTGAACTGTAGTTGCCGATAACATTAAAGTTTCGTGCATAGAAGCTACTTATATAGGAGAGATAATTTTATTACATGGGTTAATATAAAGGGATGTGACTTTTATTGTAATGTAGCTGATTTCGCAGAAAAATAACAAAGCAATACTGCAGTTAGAATTAACAAATTAAGGCTTCATAGCAAACCATATTCATAGTCAGTAAAATTACAATATACTTGCAGAAGCTGCTTGGTATAGAATTTGAAGTAAGAATTCTAATACAACACTAAGTTGTAAATCAAATATATTGCATCATGGGATATATAAAACATCTTAATTCTTTTTGTGTATTCTTGACAATTTTGAATGTTGATTGAATGTTATTCTGTAGAATTGTATGTTTGTCTTTGTTACATTCCAGTGTTCTCTGCCTCTTGGCATGCTACAGGCACGGCTTAACTAAATCTGCTCCTTACACAGTGAATAAGTGCTTAGTGTGCTAAACTACAGAAATAGCCGCTGCTAAGTGATGTAGATTTTCTACTTGAATATTTTTGTTGTAGGAACCTCAGGAGGTCAGTGTTTACTGTTTTATATATGGCTTTGTTTTCATGTTGAAGGCCCCTTTGCTTTTTGAAGGATTCTAACAATGAACAAAGCTGCTGATCAACCTAAGTTGGTAACAGAAAGTATATTTAAAAAAAATATAAATAAAAGTATCTCCTTTGCAGTTCAACTTGGCTAATGTAGAAAGAGTTTTTGATTGTTGAGTTTGTGACTATTAAGGGGAAAAAAATCTTACCTATGGTCTTTCTTGCATTTCTTTCAATTGAAGGGGAATGGATAACATTTTGTAAAATGTTTATTTTTTTTTCTAAGCTGGTATGTAGAAATCGGGTCTTTGATCTAGATTTCAGTGTTTAATGGTATTTAATTTGAAGTACTATACATTTCAGAGGACTCATTTCCAAGTAAGTATGCTTAGGACTGTAGTCTTGGTTTATTGCCATGCTGAAGATGAAGTCATGGTAATATTCATAAAATACATAGCCAATAGATTTTTTTAAAGTAATGTTACTTTTGTAATAAACAATATTGACACTGTGATACTTTTTTCTTTAGCATTGGCATTGAAGTATTTAAGCTACATAAATACTGTGTAATTTAGATTTATACTATTGTAAGAGGATTTCCAAAGCTGAAATTTCTGTTATTTAGATAAGAAATAATTCACACTAGTTTTATCTCAGGTAAATAATCTTGTACCCTTTTGTTTAGATAGAGGCTTATTTCATAAGAGTACCAGTTTGTTGTTCATATAGAATTGCCTAATGTCTTAAACTTTCATATCTAAATTGAGTTACTATGGGACAGCAATTGCTTATTTTATTCATATTGAATGTATTAACAAGGATGTATAACATTCTTTTTAAGAGATGAGTGCATCTGTATGAATAGTACCCAATTATCACCGTAAAAAAGACTTTATATTGTGCAGTGCAAAGTTATGTTTCTGATGTAAAACAAACGAGATTATGATCTGGAATATGTTCATATCTAAGTAGCCTAGGCTTTTTTGGAATAATGAATGCCTAGAGAATAAACACAAAAAATATCCTTTTTTCTGCTGTAAACTACTATATGCCAAGCAGTAATCTCTTAAATTAACATTGCTATTTAATATGTATGTTTTACTGTGGTAAGCATTTGGCTCTTTAGGATATTTTGATTTTGCGGTGATTAGATTAACAATTTGACATTTTAATACAGTTTAATACTGCACTTTCTGATGTTCTTAATTAAAAATGTCTGCAGTTTAAGCTATACTCTTTATATTTACTTGTCAAATCAAATCAGTGTTTAGGCGGTCCTGACTGAAATTTTAATAAGGGCATACAGTGTAGTTTCATCACTAAGAGACTGAGTGAAAACCTAACAGAGAAACTTTAATGGTTATATTAAAGTAATTATTCAATCTTATTTTGCCCGATAGATGCACTTTTAAACAAGATAGTTAAACTGCAAATTAATTGTAGTATTGATGATATGGTATTTCCCTAACTTTTCCAACCTAATAACTTGATTCTTGTGCGACAGTTCATTTTAGAATCAGTACTACTTTTTTGTATGTACATTTAAAACATTTTGGATGACACATTTTTGTCGTCTTTCCCCTAAAGATACTACACTTTTTCTCCTAATCAACTTTGTCATACGGTTGTTTATTTGAATTGGATTACTAACAGTAGTTAAAATAATAAAGTAGCCAGATCTTTCTGCTGACAACTTAGGTTGTATGAGTTTTGCTTGGAAGCATTAAATTGGATGTGTTTTCCATATGTGTTAGAATATTCCCTTCAAACATATCCTTCAGCAACTTCTCAAACTTTATTAAGTTGATTTTTCTTGTCTGCCTCTGCCAACAAAGCTTCATTTTAAACACAATATGATTTCAATTTTTGATAAGCTGCTGAATTCTAAAGAATTTTTGGGGCCACCAAATATTTTGGATCATGCAGAGAATATATATTGTAATGTAGTAATTTTGTATTTACATTTGTATGATGTGATAATAGATGTGAATGTTAATCACTGCTTGATTATGTTAATAAAATTTGTTTAAATAGATGCTGCACTCTGATTCTTAATGAAAAGAGAAGGAGCCATTGAAAACTGATTTGTTTTAATTGAATTATTCATTTATGTAGCTTCCAGTTTGTCTTGATATTTGGGAAGAAATTATTGGCTACAGGAAAAAAACATTTTAAAAGATTTAATTAACATAGAATACTATGTTTAA